AATAGGAGCCTAGACCGAGACTCCTAGAGATATCATTGCCACCTTTGACTAGAGAGGATACGGCTTTAGAGGCGTTCAGGCATAATCCCACGGATGGTAGCTTCGCACCACCGGCCGCTCGACCGAGTGCGTGAACCAAATGTCCGAACCTGCGGTTCCTCTCGTACTGAGCAGGATTACTATCGCAATGACTGGTCATCAGTGCGGCAGCGCTTGGCCGCCACAAGCCAGTTATTCCTGTGGTAACTTTTTTGACACCTCTTGCTGAAAACTCTTCAAGCCAAAAGGATCGATAGGCCGCGCGTGCTTTCGCAGTCTCTATGCGTACTGAACATCGAGATCAAGCCGGCTTTTGCCCTTTTGCTCTACGCGAGGTTTCTGTCCTCATTGAGCTGGCCTTGGAACGCGGGGCACGACCTGTGGCACCTCACCGCGACAGTGATGCTAATGCCGACGATGCACTGATTATAATATACACACATCTACATTCACACGCACATACACAGACATACCCCCCACACACACGCACTTACACGCACACGCACACGCTCATACAGACATACCCACACACACATACCAATGCACGCGCGCACACACACACACACACACACGCACTTACACGCACACGCTCATACAGACATACCCACACACGCACATACCCACGCACATGCACGCGCGCGCACACACACGCACGCACGCACACGCTCATACAAACATACCCACACACACATACCCACGCGCGCACACACACACACACACACACACACACACACACACACACACACACACACATACGCTCATACAAACATACTTACACACACACACACATATATAAAAATGCGACCCTAAAGAATTATTGCCGTGGATAATCTAAAATAGAATATCCCCAATATCTTCATTTTTACCATGTTTAACGTCTGATAACTCGAAAAGTAGATGGTTCCGGACTTCGTGCCCATTAACACTTTTGATCAGGAGATTATGAAGTACAACATACTGCAGTTTCAACCAATTTGACCGGGATCCATTTTCCCTATGGCTGGGCCCGGGGTCCCGCTCGAATTGTCGGAGGAGTAGCACGCCCGAGCAATCTTGACGCTAGCCGAGCGGAGACTCAAACGGAGCGCTCGGGCGCGAATCGCCGGGACCTTATACCCCCTAAACTTCACGAAGGTTCTCAGGTTTAGATGATGACAGCCAATAAAAATTCGACATGTCTTAGCATGCACGGGAGCAGGCAGTGTCACGGCAGCGACAGCCATTCAGCTAATATTGACAGAGGTAGCCGGTTCGCCGCTACACGTGATCCGCCTGTGCGACACTCGAGAAGAATAACAAGTTGATATACAAGATAATGTAGAACCTTCGAGAAGGAAATAATTCTCTCGCAATCGCGAACAATATTAATTCTGAAGATTCGGAAATAATCAAGAGACACGGTAGTGTCTCGCGCCAAGTACACGCGAAGCGAGACCGACCGTGACTCTTTTACGCGACGCGACGGGTTGCGAGTACTCGAGATGTTGAGATCTCGATAACGAGTGAACGGATCAAGTTCTAAGTAGGCTTGATCGATAGCTTGGGGTCCAATTAGGGGGGGGTTTCTCTCATAATATTCCGCTACGTGCCCTACGAGTGGAGATATTGCGACGCAAAGTCCAAATGTGAAAATTTATTTTTAAGATACGTATACTACTACTTCTAACGCCGACAAAATATATGATGACGTCATAATCTGAAAAACGTTACTTTCACTTTTTCGACACTGGCGGCTATCGGCGTTAGTATCGCAGTGCAGTGCAGACAGTGCGTTCGTTTAGCGCGCTGTCAGTCAGTTCATTCATCGTCAGTTAACCTATCTCGATCGATCGAGAGACACGGTAGTACGCGCGGAGCGAGACCGACCGTGACTCTTTACGCGACGCGACGATTAATTCAAGGTATTTAGTGAATCGGAGCTTTAGCTCTCTTCGACGAGCTGTAAACATATCAACGAATTCTATTTCTTTCCGCAGGTATGTTCGACAAAAAGAAGAATGGCACTACAATAAACGTAACGGAATTCCAAGCTCTTTACAATTACATAAATTCTTGGCTCGGTGTATTTCGTGGCTTTGACCACGATAATTCGGGCAATATACAAGAGAATGAGTTAAACGCAGCTCTAACACAAATGGGCTATAGGTAGGCTTAGTCCGGACTTCATTCAATTCCTTATAAAAAAGAGCGATCTTCGTGGTCATCAGTCCATTACTGTGGATCAGTTCATAGTATTGTGTGTTCAGATACAGAGGTTTACAGGTAATTAGAAATGTTTGCATAAAAAAAAGAAAATTTTATGATAATTTTGATATCGTTTATTAATCTAATTAGAGACCTAACTATAAACATCCGTACGTGCAATGGTTTGATAATATTTAGCATGATTTAAGCATGTTTCTTTAACAAAGATATGTTGTATGTTACAGAGGCATTTAGGACAAGAGACACAGATCAAACTGGATCGATTACTATTGGATTTGAAGAGTTTCTGGGAGTAGCTCTTAGCTGCAGCATATAACGTTTTCATATTTTTTTAATAACAATACAGTTAAAATATTTTTTACACTTGTGTATGCTGAAAAGCAATTATTATTGTTTAACTTATGCTACAAGTGCTCTATTTTTCTATCTTAGAATAATAATAATGTAAAACGTGGGTTTAGACATGTAGGATCTTAGGCTTATGAGAGATTTGTTTGTTCTTGGAAATTTCTATTTTCTTCGCCACTAAGCTTTTAGTGAGGTTTATTTATGTTTAGTTATAATGATAAAATTAAGATTTTTAATATATTAAGTAACACTTGTACTATCCAAATTTTTTTACATTTATCATACGTGTTTACAATTGCTATTTTTATAAAGATTTATTTACTAGTACAAGGTTTATAAATTTACTGTCTTTATGTGGAGATACAGATAGCTTTACCTGAAATACACATGAAAGTAAATAGGACTTGACATAAAGGGTTTTTTTTTTACACAGATTCTTTGAGAATAATGCAAATGTTTGTTTTTCAAATTTACGAGACTATAAAATTGTATTACTCCACATGAAACTGGCTCGGGAAAGAATACAAGAAATTGAACGATAATATTATATGTATAAATATGCTGCGTTCAACAGAAAGAAATTATTTTAAAACTATTGTATATCGTATCGAAGGTACGCTGCATTAATGTTGAGATTAATGCAATAATTGGTTATCCTTGGTATTTGTAAAGAATCGAAACTAATAGTATAATTGTGTCGATTATGGTAGGCGTTATACCGAAATAAGAAATAGTAAACTATGCAGGAGCGTTGATCGATTATTTTGTCAGTGTAAATAATATCTTGATACTCGGATGCGCTCGCACGTGCAAATCGTCCTATTTCTCGATCTCTTCGTTTTTATGATCGCGTTTTACGTGCTCGAGTGTATTAAAAAAAATGAGAAAAAAATGACATAAAACATAAAAAAATGGCACAGTAGTTTCACGGGACCGCATCACACGGTAATCGAACAGCTTTTTATAATCGATATTCCTCACGTGCTCGGAGCGACGTGACCGATCTCTCAAAAGGACGAAGTATAATCTCTAAGTACTATTATATTATCAACACGCTCATACAATGAGTCACAAAATTATTTATTTCTCAATTGCAAACTTCAAAAGATTGATACTCTTTTAGGATAGGATATTTTATGGATAAGTATATTTTATATATTATTATACTTGACAAGAATGCGTGGGATCAAATTCTTTTGCCATTATTACATTAAAAATAACTTACAAAAATTACACATTTATCGAGGTATTTATTTCACAAAAAACTAGTCCAGAAAAAATAATAAAGTGCATGTACATAGTTTTCTAATTATAATCTTAAAATTATAAGTCAAGAGACACGGTAGAGTGTCTCGCGCCATCAAACATGAGAAAATCTTATGATAAATATAAATAATACTCGGATGTGCTCGCACGTGCAAATCGTCGACCTATTTCTCGATCTCTTGGTTTTTATGATCGCGTTTTACGTGCTCGAATGCATTAAAAAAAATGACATAAAACAAAAAAATGGCACAGCAGTTTCACGGGACCGTATCACGCGGTAATCGAACAACTTTTTATAATAATTAATCGATATTCCTCATCTGCTCGGAGCGACGTGACCGATCTCTCGAAAGAACGAAGTATATAATCTCTAACTACTATTATATCATTAGCACGCTTATACAATGAGTCACAAAATTATTTATTTCTCAATTGCAAAATAAAATAAAAAATGTTTTCGTCATGAAACAAAAATGCATATTTTTATGATTAAAACTTTAGTTAAAACTTAAAAGGCACTTTCCTGGAAGGATATAGTCGGATGGCGAAAGAGTTAATCGATATTTCGCGAGCGATTCACCAAGATACCAGACTTTACTAACTCGACATTTGTACTGCATTCTAAGGTACTTTGAGACCGCGAAATGAAAACGAGCGACATACGAGATAAACATCTCGTGGGTTGCAGAGACGCGAAACTTTGGCCAGAATAGCCGACTGACACCGGCACGCCCAGACAGCCACCATCCTGATGCTTCGTGAGCAACGACATCCTGCTGAATGTCTTGCTACACCTGTCGCAGGAATATATTTATTTCTTGACGTCGCTGTGGGTCTGTAGGTGAGCCCTGAGGTTGCTCCTATCGGCGAACGCGCGATTGCAGTGCTGACATCGGAACGGCTTCTCGTCGGTGTACGTCCGGATGTGACCCTGGAGCAGCCACGGCCTGGAGAACAATCAAAGTTTATATAGATTAGAGATGTGTGTGTGTGTGTGTGTGTGTGTGTGTGTGTGTGGACGTGTGTGTGTGTGTGTGTGTGTGTGTGTGTGTGTGTGTGTGTGTGTGCATGCGTACGCGTTTCAAACAATTAATAAAGCAAGTTTCAAACGATTTACCTATAAATCTACCTATAAACTTGGTTTATAGGTTAAACGTTTGTATAACTGTTTTGCCACCGCCGTCGGTACCGCCGCGGCCGGCGTCGTATGATCCGTAGCCATGGCCACAGCTATATCCGTATGATCCGTAGCTATGTCCACTGCTATATTCGTAGCCACGGCCATGGCCATGGCCACGGCCACGGCCACGGCTACGTCCACTGCTATATCCACGATCGTATCCACGACCGCGGTATGATCCGCGAGATTTTCTGCTCTTCATCCATCTTCTAGCTGTAACAAAAAGAGAAATTATTTAACGATTATGATTGCTTGTTATTTGCCGAGCAGACACAAGTTGTAAATATATATATATATATATATATGAATATTATTTATTTATATTTATTTATTTTTATATATATATATATACTTACGTCTCGTAGGAGCTGGCAAGGCCGCAGCCGCAGCCGCAGCCATCGGAGTTGTCGCAGGCGCTGTGCCCGCTGTAGTTGTCGCAGGCGCTGTGCCCACTGTAGTTGTCGCAGCCGCTGTGCTCGCTGTAGTCGTCGCAGCCGCTGTGCCCGCTGTAGTTGTCGCAGCCGCTGTACCCGCTGTAGTTGTCGCAGCCGCTGTACCTGCTGTAGTTGTCGCTTCACTCGCAGCCAACTTTTCTTTTAATTGCAGCTGTTCCACCTGTTGTCCCGCCGCCAATACTGTCTCGTCCTCCTGTAAAATAAAAATATATACATTATTATATTTTGATTATAATAAATCAAGAGATACGGTTAATGTCTCGTGCCAAGTATACGCGAAGCGAGATCACACCATAAATCTTTTATACAGACGCGACGATTTGCGAGTACCCGAGATTTTAAGATTCATTTTCGTAATACTTACTGCGTCCATTAGTTCTGCTATCATGATGATGTATAATGTACGTACGTACGTACGTACGTACGTACGTGCGCGCGCGTGCACTCGTGTCGGGAAGAAAAGGAGAGAATCTCTCGTTCCTCACGTGCCGCGATCCGTGTATCTCGACGAAATCGTGAAGGAAAAGACGTACGTATATTATGATGACTCGACTGGTGTAGCCGTTCGAGAGGAAGCGCGTAACACTCGCACGCTCGCTCGCGCAAGAAACAAAATACGAGGACCGAGGATCGCCCAGGCTGGTTGAGATCCTCGTCGCGCACTAGAAGATGCACGCGGACTTCACTCACTTCACTCAGGCGTGCCGCGTGGCCGTTTGAGACGAATTTTCGGGGCGGATTCGCGGCATTCGCGGACGTCGGTTGATGAACGAATGACGGTGGCGACTGCAGCGGCTAAGTAACAATAGAGATTGTGTTTGGGGAGCGCGCTTTTAGCGCTAATAGCGTTTTCGAACGCACACAGGATGTGATTGGTTCTTATCTTTGGATCCAACCAATCATATTTAAGCGGGGAGCACACACTTCTGCACAACGCATAATGCGTAAGCATAAGAAAGTTGATTGGTCCATACACATTTGCATGTAAGGAAATAGACCAATTGATCAGTTTTCTTATGCTTACGTATTATGCGTTATGCAAAAGTCTGTGTTCCCCGCTTTAAAGGTCAATCCAGACAAACTTGCATAGTAGCGCATAAACATAAGCATAAGAGAATTGATTGGTCCATATATGCACGTGCATAAGGAAATAGACCAATCCGTTTCTTTATGCATGCTTATCTCAGCGAGAAATGACCCATCGAATCGACGTTTAATCAACGTCGAAATCATGATATATGCACCTATGGAAGTTTGTGTGGATATAGCTTAATTGTTACTTAGCTGCTCATCCACGATTTATGTATTATACACAATTTCTTTTCTTATACGATCGGTAACATTATCGACGATACGCGAAATGGAATTATCAACTGGGATTGTTCATGGTAATATCATGATTTATTTGGTTTATGGTGGTATAGTATAGATAGATCGAGGCTTTATGTCAGTGAAGCGATTTACGTGAGTGAAACGATAACCGTACGTGTTTCTTGATAAAGAAATCTATAATAAAAGAGAAGTAAACGTGTATAGTAATTTGGTAAGTATTAACAATAATTTACAAGTAAAATATTTGCTGTTTTTTTTAGCTTATAGATTTATGTGTTTAATAGATTTCTTGATCGGGCACCGTCGCGTGGATTCATATACGCAATTCTGTGTTTGTGTGCCTTGAGGTATGTTATAATATACATATTAAATTATTATTATTATTATATATAACAAATTGTTTACTTTTTTCACAAACATCGGTTAACTTTTAACTTTAGGTTAACTCACTCTTCGTCTCTTTCTAATGTTCATTTCTACCAATGCCGATTAACTTTGATCTCTGTTTAACTTACTTTTTACCTTACTAGTTAAAAATTAGAAAAAGATAAAAAGTAAATTAAACCGAGATCAAAATTAATCCACATTGGTAGAAATGGACGTAAGGGAGACATTAGAAAGAGACAAAGAGTTAACCGATGTTTGTGAAATAATAGCAAATTCGGGCGGTTGCATTAGTGCACACTGAGTGCGCACTAAGGCTTATTTATATAATCTATTCTTATATTTATAGTCGCTTAAATACGCATTTAAAAATTTTTTCGCCAATAAAACAGTCTGTAATATCTATGGATGCTGTATATCTATGGATGCTGTACAAATTATATTTTACAAACTAATGCTCGTTTTCACCAACGTCGTTTAACTTGAACCTTAGTTCAATTCACTCCTTGTCTTTTTCTAATGGACTCTCTTAGAAACAGGCAAAGAGTGAATTGAACTAAGGTTCAAGTTAAACGACGTTGGTGAAAACGGGCATAAGAAGTATTTAAGATGATCTGTAAATATAACAATTGATTAAAATACAGATAGCGAATTGGTTTTAGTTATAAAATGTTCCACAATTTATGTGCTTTTAAAATATGCCCAATGAGATTTCCGTGTTTGTCCCTTTTGACCGACCCGAACATGAGTACCAAATCGTATTGTTAATAGAGATAATATAGTTTATATTTTTTACGAAATAAATATAATACATTTTGATATTTCTACATTGATTTAATCTGTTGAAAAATTTACAATTCAACATAAGGTATATTCAAATAGAAGCATTACAGAACTAATTATACTGCTCGTAAGTATTAAGAA